CTGCTTCCCAACTTCCCCACTGTTGAATCCTGGTGGTTTGGCTGCCGGCAGGTGACAGTGGAGGGAGGGAGGAGCCCAGTGAAGCTGGTGGTCTCAACCAAGCTGACGAAATGGCCTTGGCCCAGCCTCTTGTCTCTCACTCTGTTGCCTCCCAATAGCCCTCTTTTCTACTTTCTGAAAGCAGAATTAATTGATGGTGAGGATCTTGCTGTTCTGACACCTCCTGAAGTTGAAGGCTTATGGTAAGCTTTTGCACAAATGCCAGGGATTAGCATGAGCTGGTTTGTACAGCTGCCCGAATTTCCTAGGATCAGGCATCCATCCACTCGGAAAATGCTGAAGTTGTTAGCAAATCCTTAGGTGGAAGGGCATTGGAAAAGTATGGGAAGAAGGAGCCCACTCCAAACATCCAGACGCACAAAGAATTGCTATAAAAGCGAGCAGCAACCAGATGTTGGTTTTGTTAATGGCAAAAGCATATTTTATCTAGAACTTTCTGTGGTATATTTGGCCTTCCTCCAACCTGAAACCTCTGGTTTTCAGACGGGATAAAAACTTCAGATTTCAAAAACACACATGCAAATAGCATGTGTAGAGCATCACACATGATGACTGCACTTCTGTCTGTTTTCACTGCAAATGCATGCAGCAAAATCAGCAAGCTTGCAGTCATGCAATGTGAATATTATGCTGTTTTGTGTGATCCCTCCCATTTTATTTATTTGAGAATTTAGATTCTGCTGATATAGTCAACCAGGGGTATCAACCTCATTTAAGCTGGAGGGCAAAGCCGCCCACCCAGCAGATGTAGCCACACCCATAACTCCCCCTCCCTTCAAGCCAATGGGACCAGTGGTTATCTTCTGAATATAGCTCCATTATCCAACCTTGGTGTGCCATAATCCCTTCATCACCACCATCACTACTTCCACTCACTCAGGCCTGAGCAACCTCTGCAGCTCTTGAGGCCCCTGCTATTTGTCATGTTCTCTGGCTCACAGGCAGACCTGCAGGGAGAGGAAGCATCACTTGCGACATAAATACCCGCCCTGCCCTCTGGACTATCCAGACCAGAAGATGTGGCCTTACCATACCCCTCCAGCTTGGATGACACCCTTCCAACTCATCCCTCACTATCTCCATGCTGTAGGAACCAACAGCTACCCAGCAGGGCAATGATCCATTAAAAGAGCCTACATTGTCATAGAAGGGGTAGGGCTAATAGACAGTCCACACCAGCTGACTTTCATAAAGCCCTAGAAGACTTCAGTATGCTGTTGAGTCAACAACTGCTCCTGAGTGAGCTCTCCAGGGTGCTGATATGCTCCTGTTTGCCCTGCTTTCCACTGTGGTTGGAATCTGGTATTGCCAGGTGCATTTGACTAATCCGCCTGACTTGCTTTTCTGTAACCCTCCTGTTTGGAAAGTGGCATATGATTAATCCAGCCAGGGATTGCCTTGGCTGCACCATGGTCTCCCAAGCAGGACACCATCGATGCCCTTGCTACTGCTCATTCTCCAGGATACTCTTCCATGCCAAAATGGCTGCTCCCCATGCCACCAACTGAAATACAGTGGTACCTCAGGTTACATACGCTTCAGGTTACAGATTTCGCTAACCCAGAAATAGTGCCTCGGGTTAAGAACTTTGCTTCAGGATGAGAACAGAAATCGTGCTCTGGTGGTGTGGCGGCAGCAGGAGGCCCCATTAGCTAAAGTGGTGCTTCAGGTTAAGAACAGTTTCAGGTTAAGAACGGACCTCCAGAATGAATTAAGTACTTAACCCGAGGTACCACTGTATTTATTGTTATTCTCGATTTACCAGTACCACCTATTCCACATCCTAAGCCACACACAATTTGCAGATTTTCCACACTAAATGGAATATGGGAGAAGCTGACGTTGAGGTGAGCTGTAGCAGCCATTTGAGTGCTCAGCCTCTTTGCCCTGCTAATGGTGTACAGTGGTACCTCAGGTTAAGAGCTTAATTCGTTCTGGAGGTCTGTTCTTAACCTGAAACTGTTTTTACCTGAAGCACCACTTTAGCTAATGGGGCCTCCTGCTGTTGCCGTGCCGCCGGAGCACGATTTCTGTTCTCACCCTGAAGCAAAGTTCTTAACCTGAGGTAATATTTCTGGGTTAGCGGAGTCTGTAGCCTGAAGCATATGTAACCTGAAGCGTATGTAACCCAAGGTATTATCTCTGGATATGCTGCAGTATTGCATAGGTGTGAGTGTTTCAAGCCTTATTTGGTACCTCAAACTGATAAGATCCCTGCCTCCTCCATTTGACAGTCCCAACATAAATGAACTGTAGCAGTGATTCCAGTTTAACATCTGAGATGCTGATGCGAGCCTTCAAAAAGCATACCAAGTTGGAAGAGGGGACTAGCATCCCTCTTCTAGCTTCCTCTTTCAGCTCTTTTCAAGTGGAGTGGAATAACCACCATCATCACCTTGTGATGAAGAGAGCAGTAAGCAAGGGAGACCGTCAGGTTTCACGAGCACCAGAGGGAAGTCCTCAAGGAATGTCTTCTGCACTCATGACTACTATGTTTTAGCCCAAACCTTAAACAATGAATAATAAATCTAAAGTTCTAAAGCCAAGCCAGACCAAACCCCTGTGCCCTATTGTGTGCCATTCACCCATAATTGAAAAGATTAGCTTCAGACAGGCAGAGAAAAAGTTTCATTTTAGTCCGTCTTCCCCCTGCCCAGACACCCCCCCCCCAAACTAGGCTGGGACAAGAGTGAACAAATCAGGCACTCAGAATAAGAACCAAAGAATTTAAAAACCAGGGAGTTGTCTGTGTGAAAAGCAAATCCCAGTAATGATTAGCAATTGTGCTTTTGGCAAAGAGGCTGGATAGGGTTTTTTTGGTTTTGGGGTTTTTTTGCTAAGCTATCCTTAATGCTGCTGACAGTTTTTGTAATGCTTCTTAGAGGGAAGGCAGAAGAAATTGCCTGGCATAACTGACATCCTCAGAAAGGAATTAATCTCTCTCCGCACAAAGGCAAAAGTTGACCATATATAGTCTTTTTTTATAATACTTATTTTTCATGGGTTTTTCCTTTTACCCCAACATTTCCATTCTTGTTTTAGTGATGGGTGGTAGATCTTCACCTTTGTTATGAACTGTCCTTGCATGTCCCAAGATACGTTGGAGACCTCAAAGCAAGCATGAGGGATCTGTGGCTCTCCATGTGATGGTCTTGAACTATCATCATCTCAGACTAGTAGTCCAGTGACATCTGCAGGGTCACTATATTTGGGCTCAGAGAGGCTGTGGGAAATTGCCTTGGAGCAACCAATTCACAACTCTCAAAATGTGCCACGTTGTACTCTAAACCCAGAATAAAGCAAATTGGTTTCTGTCTTGCACCTTGCTTTTTCACAAGCTCTGCAGATGTGCCCCTAAAAATACCACAGCCACAAATTATTCCCCTGAGGTTCTAATCTCAACACAGAAGAAGTACAGTATGGTGCGGGCAGATCTAGAGATCTATAACATTCTTAGGGCCAGCCCATTTACTGTGCAAATTCTGGGATTTTTGCATAAGGGGAAAACATTGTAAGGTCTTTGATAGGGTTTAAGTACATGTCTGTCTCCTGAGTTATAGACTGGTGACTGGGAACAGCCGCCGAGACCACATAATACCGGTCTTGAAAGACCTACATTGGCTCCCAGTATGTTTCCGAGCCCAATTCAAAGTGTTGGTGCTGACCTTTAAAGCCCTAAATGGCCTTGGCCCAGTATACCTGAAGGAGCATCTCCACCCCCATCACTCAACCCGGACACTGAGGTCCAGCGCTGAGGGCCTTCTGGCAGTTCCCTCACTGCGAAAAGCAAAGTTACAGGGAACCAGGCAGAGGGCCTTCTCGGTAGTAGCGCCCGCCCTGGGGAACACCCTCCCATCAGATGTCAAAGAAATAAACAACTATCGCACGTTTAGAAGACATCTGAAGGCAGCCCTATTTAGTGAAGTTTTTAATGATTGATGTTTTAATGTGTTTTAAATCTTTTGTTGGAAGCCACCCCGAGTGGCTGGGGAAACACAGCCAGATGGGCGGGGTATAAATACTGTTATCATTATTATTATTGAAGGTAAAGGTACCCTTGACCATTAGGTCCCAGTCGCGGACGACTCTGAGGTTGCACGCTCATCTCGCTCTATAGGCTGAGGAAGCCGGCGTTTGTCCGCAGACAGCTTCCGGGTCATGTGACCAGCATGACTAAGCTGCTTCTGGCGAACCAGAGCAGCGCACGGAAACACTGTTTACTTTCCCGCCGAACCTTTTTATCTACTTGCACTTTGACGTGCTTTTGAACTGCTAGGTGGGCAGGAGCAGGGACCCGGCAATGGGAGCTCACCCCGTCGTGGGCATTCAAACCGCGACCTCTTGATCGGCAAGCCCTAGGCTCTGTGGTTTAGACCCGCGTCCCATTATAATAATTATTATTAATTGATTGTAATTTAGCAAATAGCAGGGTTTGGGGAGCCGGGGTTGGATTGATACCATGGCATGCAGCAAGGGGGGAATTTAAGTCTTCTCATGGCCCCGATTCAGATTGGTCCGTGTCTGCTGTTTTTTGCCCTGGGAAGAAAGCTGCTCTTGGCACTAAGACTCATTACTCCTGCAATTACATTAAAGGCCACCAGATCCAAGCTTTGCTGAGCACAATAAAACTCAGGGAAACTTCTGGCGGAAAGGCTGAGAAATCTGTCACAGCTTGTTAAGAAGCTGCTTATCAGTGCCAGGCCTAATTAGGGTAACTACAGATCAAGCAATTAAGCTGCGGCATTCCTCCCACCCACAAGGCATGTACTTGCATAGAGCAGGTGCCATGTAGGTGTCTGCAGGTACCATCGTTCTTCCTCCCAAAGGAGCACAGGGCGCCAAACAACAGAAGGATAAAGAAATAACAGTATAGAATCATAGAGCTGGAAGGGACCCCGACGGTCATCTAGTCCAACCCCCAGCAGTGCAGGAATGTGCAGCTGCCCCATACAGGGATTGAACCTGAAACCTTGGCGTTATCAGCACCATGCACTAACCAGCTGAGCCGTCCAGTTAAAAACCATCCCCTGTACAGATGCAGATTAGGAAATAGCTCCACTAGAATTCTTGTTGGAAGAGGAGTGTCTTCAGTAGGTACCAAAAAGACAACAGAGACTGTCTGATATTCAAGGGCAGGGATTTCCAAAGGGTAGGGGCCACGCCGCTAAAGTCCCAGTTCCTCTATCATGCAGAATGGAACTCTTGATAAGATGGCACCTGCCAATCATGATAATCCAAAATATGTGGCTGCTTTGTTTATTTATTTTGTCAAGTTGGGTGCGGCAGAAGAGCAAGATCAAGCAACAGCAACCACCCCATAATCAAGAACAACGACACTTGAATTTTTTGAGGTTACGTAATAATGTTGTAGTTCCCTGAGTCCCTGGAAGAGGCGCCCATTAGTAAGCTGGCCTCTCAAGCCAATTTTATTTCAGAGCCTAAAAATAGGGAAGGGAAGCAAGGAATTCTGGTGGATGGCGGAACACTCTGACCGCTGCGACCCAAAATAAAGGCCAGCGGAAAGTTCCTAATCCACGTTGCGCTCCCTGTCCCTGTTGCGGGTCTTGTTACATCTCCGAATACACCGAAAGGGGAGGAAAAACACAGGCTCAAGATTTTTAATATCGGGGCACAGCAGGCGGTAAAGAGCGCCTGCCTATTGCCTACTGCTGCCCCAGCTGGGTCTCTTATCTTTGGCTGGTCGGACTGTGCTATAGGTATTGTTTTGGCCGTAATCCCTTCTGCACAGTGTTTGTGTTTTGAAGAAAATCAAATTCAGTCTTGCAGGCTTTTGCTCTTGTGCCGCCTCAGCAGAAAGGAAGATAATGGGTGTGTTGGCGCAGGAACGCTATAAAAGGAGGGGTGGCCAGTCAGTGACGGTAGGAGGCTCCAGAGAAAGGTGTAACTCTTTGCTTTTTTCTCTCTTGGGACCATTCAATCCTCTTTCTGCCTAAGGAAGGGTCCAGGAAGGATAGAATAAGGTTTGAAGCAGGGGTGGGAGTTATGAAGTGTCTGGCAGCCTCAATTTGAAAGTGTGCGGAAAGCTTACATAGAATGATATTGTTGAAAGTAATCGACATTATAAGCAGACTTGGAATCTTACTGTGAACACACCATTTGGGTTGTTATATTCCAGAATTTGCCATGGGAAATTTCAATTCATCCTCATCAATGAGATTTCCCATGAAGATGATTGTGGCAAGTTTTACTGCATACCCATTGACGCATCAACTGTGCATTTGATTTGTACCCCTCAAGTCTTTTCCCCAAGACTCTTGGTTTTATAAGAAAGGCAGCTCTGTAGTGTGGGTGTGTCCTTCAGTTCTTAATAGAGACCAAACAGCTTGTCCATTGGTATGTGGCCTCATGGGGCATGGAAGCTCTGAATGATTGAATTCAGGGTGGCTGAGATGGCTGAAAATGGCTGAGGCTTATCAGTCACAAAATGGCGGCAGGTGGAAGGAGAGTTTGGCATTTACTGACATTGTTTCCTTCCGACACTGAATCCATTTTTGGAAATTGCTAAATTCTCTGTCACAGTGTTTTCTTTGTGGTGAGGTTCCATAGCTTAGCTTTTCTGAAGCGAAGTACAGGAATTTGCTCCAGAGGTATTGTGGGAGAATTAGGCAGAATTTGCTGATCCAGGCTCTCCAAGCAATGAAGGCCTTTCCTTTTTAATTTGCCCCTACCCACACCAGTTGTTATGTATTGAAGTTCTCACCCTGGCCACCAGGAGTATCGTGTATATAGTTTTCACTCAGGTCCACGTCAGTTACTTTAGGCAGGAAACCCTGGGTTGTTGTTGCTTGAAGAATCGCTGTGTCGTCTGATATGTTCACCCACAAGTTAACACCAGTCCCTGTTAATTCTTCTCCCAGTTCCTTTTACTTCCAACTTGGACCTTCTTCCCCCGCCTCCAACCTGCAAGATTCTCTAATCCCCCTCTCCAGTCTTTTTCAGCCACTTCTTCCTGCTGCAACGGCTCTCCTCTCTTCTCCCCTTCCTTTATATTGCTTTATATTCCCAGTTTGTTTTGTAATAGGATTGCCATATTTCAACAAGTGAAAGTCCAGACACAAAAATTGTTGAGCTTTCTGAGCTATTTTGAATGACATTCGCCAAAATCTACACTTCCGACATGGGCTGCCATATGTCCTGATTTTCCCAGAAATCTCAGCGATTTCCACCTGGAGACTGCTAACAAGGACCGAATATCAGAAAATTCCAGACATATGGCAGCACCTCCTCTGGCCACCCCCCCTCCTCCCCAGAAGGGAGACCTTCAATTGCTCATGCACCCCACCTCCCAAAAAACTTATTTACTCAACCTTTACTCAAAATGCCAGAAGCTGCTGGTGTTGGCATTGGTTGAACTGGGTTGAACTGGCTGTGGGGCAGGGCAGGCAAGGAAGGAGACACTGGGCAGGCTGTAGCAAATGAGACCCACCTAAAAGTGGTCCTTTGTGGGGTATCTTTGGAAGAAGAAAAGGCTACACAAATCCAGAGTGGAGTCCCTAAGATGGTTGGATAATGCTTTGTATGCCTTCTTCTGGCGTACAAGAAGCTTTGGCCAAGCTGGGACCAAACACATTGCTCTGCTTTCCTTTGGACCACAGCAGCGAGGCTGAGAGGGGGGTCTTGCCATCTGGGCAGCCCAGGACCTCCATACTTGCTGCCCAAGCTGGCACCTCCACTTAGGTGCTGCTAATGTAGCGGCTTAACTCCACCCCCAGAGGTGCACTCCATTGTCTCTTGAGACAGATGCCAACAACAAAAGTGGTCGAAGGCCCAGAGTCGAGAAACTCTGCTTTAATCCACACATATTATCTCCCACCTCATTCGAAGTAGTGAAGAAACAAACATGCTTAAGCAAAGAATGTGGATTGGAGCAATACTTCCTGTTTGTGTCTCTTTAAGATGCAGGTTTTAATATTTAATACACCAGTCACACTCTTCTGATTTGAGTGCCAGAGATATGCCATGTCTTCATTGCTGGCTGCCGAGAAAACATTGGGTTCCTCCCCGCATAAAAGCATATTGCTCTCATTTTAAAATTGCAACGCGTTCCCCATTTTGCCAGACAGCCCAAAGGTTTGACAACTTACCCAACAGAATCCTGCCTCTTGATTAGCCTCGATCATAAATCCTCCTTTGCTCCTATCACAGCCAGCAGCTTTCTAAGCTGGGCTAGTGATGCGTTTAATTCCTCTTTTCAAAGCAGGTAATCTGCGGTTCATAACTGGTTGAAAAACCAAGAAGAAGAAAAAGACTGCTCTTCATCCAGATGAGAGCAGGACTGTGTGCACTGTGAAGAGAGACTTGGCAAAAGCTACAGCCTCCGCCACCCTTTTGACTGCTTTTTGGGGGTGTTCCTGGGTTCAGCGCTGTCGCTTGAGGCTTAGGTGGCCTCAGTGACCAAAGACCCCCCTTTTCCAGCTACAGCTGGTTCACCAGGTACGACCCCTTTTGGGCAGAGATGACTTGGCCACCATACTCTGGAAACCTCCAGATTGGGTTACTGTAATACACTGTTTGTGGGACTGCCCTTGATTATGGTTTAGAAACGTACGTTGCTCCAAAATGCAGCATCCTGGGGCTACATTTAAATCTTGTATAACCCCCATTTTAAAACAGCTGCAGTGGTTGCCAGTTTGTTGCCAGGGCCAACTAAAGGTGCTCATGTTAGTGTTTAAAGCCCTAAACGACTCAGGCCCCAAATAACTGAAAGACTGCCTCTTTCCTTATAGACCCTCTTAGTTGCTGAGATTGGCGGATGGGACCCTCTTAGAAGTTCCTCTGCCCTCAGAGATTGGGGGGGCAGGGGAAGAGGGCCTTCTCTTTGGTGGCCCCTAAGCTGTGGAATTCCCGCCCCACAGACGTGTGTCTCTTGCATTCTACGTTGTTTTAAATTGCTTTTAGTATTGTGTTTTAATGCTGTAACCCACCCCTAGGGTGACGGGTGGGTAATTTCATGGGTGCCTAAATCCCAAAAGGGTTGGAGCCTGTCTGATACTCACCAGAACAGATTTCTTTATCACTGGGGCTGCTAAACTAAAAGACCTCAGCATCATGCTGCATCTAAGAAGGGCCTTCCCGAATGACTGCAGTGTCCAGACTGGTATATAGGGGGGTAACACGATCTCTCTCACACACTTTAAGTGGTGGTGAAGCTCCCTCACATTCATTTCTTCTGGAGAAGGGAGAGTTGGACCAGACAGGCCTGGGATAAATACTGCTGGAGAGCAGATACTGTCATGGACTGGCTGGTTGTAGAGGAGTGGTGGGAGGCACCAGCTGGAGCACCCCCAAGGGAAAAAGCCTCAGAGCCCCGGGGATTGGTGGTGGGACAACAATGAGTGGTCAGAGGGAGAACAGGGAGCGGACTGGGAGCCGGAGGTGTCAGAAGATGAAGAGGCAACAGAGTTTAGTGAGCAGGAAGATTCTGCAGCAGAGAGCAGTCCAGAATCGGGGGCAGAAGCGGAGGCTGGGGAGGAGGGGGATCAAGAGGCAGAGATGAAGCAGGCTGTTGAAGAAGCCAAGGGGTCTCCACCGTCTGCTAAGACCAGCTCCCCTACCCCCTGGTCTTCCAGAACCAGAAGAGGTATGAAGAGGGTGGAACAATGACAAACAAGGTGTTGGAGTCTCAGATTGCTTGGGATAGACCTGGGGGAGAGGAACTAGGCCTGGCCTCCTGAGCAGTTTTGTTTCTTTGAATAAAGAGTTAACTTCACTGTGAATTATTTCTGACCTGCTTCTGAGGCACGGCTCTGTCAGATAATGGTCAGCTGAGCAGTTTTGTACACTCATGATCTCTGTAGCACCTCTGTAGCACCCACTCTCCAATCTGGATATGGTGGCTGACACCCATCTTTCTAAGCCAGGTAGCCAGAAGAGCACCAACATTTTAGCTCTGACCCTGGTGCCGACATGGATGATCTTCAGGCCTAGTGCAGATCTGCCAGTTTCTGATCTCTCCGTTTAACAGCTAACGCCCACCAGCCATCAGGTTGAG